GGCTAACATTTCCACCGTATATACTGACAGATTATTAGATGTTCGACTTTTATGAAATTTACTAAATTTCGGAATCCAGAAAGAAAACCCTGTCAAATTTCCTGACTCTCTCGACCTGTCAGTATATACAGGGATGAATGATTGTTGAGCGACATTTAATCTTTCTTCCACAACATTATCCCAGTTTCCCACACCTTTCCGTATGTTAATTACATTGTGAATATGAAAATCTATCACCACTTTTGGAAATAACCAAGACGGAGTAAGCGAATATAAAAATTTCTTAAGAACAACTATATAATTTAATTTAAAGGCTTCCGCCAATCTACACGATTTCCAAACCGTGCTCCCATACTGTCCATTGAAACATTGCCCTCCTACTGTCATCTCTCCCCTAACCATATGCACATCCTCTGTACTACCTCATACACTAGCTCAATAATTTAATTTCAGCAACTTGAATCTAAGAGTCAATGGCATCTCTCCCATTTCTACTTGTGAGGACACTATCGGTGTGGTTTTCATTGCTCCACAACAAATTCTCAAAGCCTGACTTTGAATAACTTCAATCTTCCTCAGTAATGTTTTACTTGCGGAACTATATACAATACTACCATAAACAATAACCGATCTGACCATTGCTATAGAGCTACGGGAGTTGACGTCACTTCTCCCAGCATGCAACCGTTCAAATCGAAACGGCGCCATTAGGCAGGCAGAAGCTGGCAGCTGGACTATTTGTTATTGTCAGAAAACTCAAACGGGAAATATGGTAGATTCCTGTTGTGCCCCAGGATGCAGAACAGACGCGGACGACATAAGAAATGAGTCATCTACAGGATTCCCCAAGATCCGGAGCGCCGCAAACGTTGGATCATCGCAATGAAACGCCCTAGCCTCCAGGATAAAATGAAGCTGTGGGATCCCGAGAGTAAAGGTTTTCGCTTATGCAGCGACCACTTCATATCAGGTACTTCAACCAACGTTTCCTCAACTGTGTATGGTATTTATTTTAAATGCTTTTATTACGATTCTTAGTGGGCTTCCTAAACTTATTTTGGCGTGGCTTTTTCTGTCTTATTACTCATAGCAACAAGTAAACATCACGTAAACCGTTGCCTCGTGAGTTCTGCGTGCTGCCGTTTACGTGTTTTATGATCACAGCAATTAACCGGCTAAGCTGTATTTACTTTTTAAGCAATGGTTGATCAATTGTCAGATCACACATAAAAAGCGCTTTGGATTGCTATTATCTGTCTCACCGAGACAGATCTCAGACAGATCCTGAGACGCTTCTGCCTGACATATTTATTTTATTCACGGAAAACAATTAAACTAGTGATTTCTCTTGGCGTTCAGTTTATACATTCAAACAGCACAGCACTCTATTTAAACTACTTACGTGTAAATCTGTTATTCGTCCATCCATCCATCCATTTTCATCCGCTTATCCGGAGTCAAGTTGCGGGGGCAGTAGCGTCGAGAGGCCCTGACTTCCCTCTCCCCAGCTGCCGGTGTTCTCCTCTGGGTAAATCCCAAGGGGTTTCCCGGCCAGGTCCAGTAAGAAGTCCGCTCCGACAGCTTCTGGCGTCAGAGCGGGCAGTAGCGTCGAGAGTCCCAGACCTCTCCCCAGCTCCTCCGGCCGGGGGGAATCCCAAGGGGTTCCCCGGCCAGGTCCGGTAAGAAGTCCGCTCCGACAGCTTCTGGCGTTTTTAAAAAGTATCCCAGGGGCACGGTAAGGGTCGGAGATGTTTAGTCTATTTAATTTCTGACTATATAAAATGATTTATTTGGTTTTAAAGTGTGAAGTAAACTCAGACGAAGTAAAATCCAAGCGGATCCCGTTCACGTTCATGTGTTTGTTTACATTTTTTTACCTGCCAAAATGGCATCTACTAACTGAGAGTCACGTGGGGTCCGGAGCTCTATATATACCTGTTTTAAAGCCTTGGTACTAGCCCCCCAATCATTACCTCTTAAATACCTCATAATATTTATCACCTTTTTACATCTTTCAACTATGTTACTAATATTCTCCTTCCAAATCAACCTTTCATCAAATATAACACCCAAATATCTAAAACTACGAGCTTGCTCCAAAGGTTCCCTATATAGTTTAAGCTCAATCTTAACATTTCTTTTCTTTGTAAAGACCATACTTTTTGTTTTATCCATCGAAAGGCACTGGGGTTAAGTCACGCTACTCCTTAAATCCACTGCACCTCCAATTAGTGGAATTCCCAACCGCTGAGATGGCTGCCGCGCCCTCCTGCAAACACAGAGCTGACACACCTCACCAGTAGATGGAGGCAAACCGTGATGCCATCAAAGCTCATAAATGTACGCACAGCACCCATATTGACAGAAAAACACAGAATGTTAGAAATTTCTGCAGATTTATTAGAAAGAAAAAACTGAAATATCACACGGTCCTAAGTAGTCAGACTCGTTGCTCAGTATTTAGTAGAAGCACCCTTTTGAGCTAATACAGCCATGAGTCTTTTTGGTAAAGATGCAATACGTTTCTTACACCTGGGTTTGGGGATCCTCTTTCTTCAAGATCCTCTCCAGTTCTGCCAGGTTGAATGGTGAACATTGATGGACAGCCATTTTTAGGTCTCTCCAGAGATTCTCAGTTGGGTTTAAATCAGGTATCTGGCTGGGCCATTCAAGAACAGTCAGAGTTGCAATGAAGCACTTTGTTATTTTAGCTGTGTGCTTAGGGTCATTCTCATGTTGGAAGGTACAGCCAGTCTGAGGTCCTGAGCACTCGAGAGAAGGTTCGTGTCGAGGATATCCTTGTACTTGGCCGCATTCATTGTTCCCTCAATTGCAACCATTTGTCCCGTTCACGTAGCTGAAAAAGACCCCCCACAGCATGATGCTGCCACTGCCATGCTTCACTGTGGGGACTGTACTGGACAAGAGGTGAACAGTGCCTGTTTTTCTCCACTCATAACGCGTAGAATTAAGGTCAAGAAGTTCTATCTTGGTCTCATCAGACCAGAGAATCATACTTCTCACCATTTCAGGGTCCTTTGGGTGTCTATTAGCAAACTCCATGCGGGCTTTCATGTGTCTTGCACTGAGAAGAGTCTTCCGACGGGCCACTCTGCCATTAAGCCCTGACTGGTGGAGGGCTGCAGTGATGGTTGACTTTCTACAACTTTCTCTCATCTCCTGACTGCATCTCTGGAGCTCAGCCACAGTGATCTTTGGGTTCTTCCCATGGACGTAATTTTGGGGGGGGACAGGGGGGACATGTCCCCCCACTTTTTCCAAAGTCAAGTTTTGACCCCTGCACTTTTTACCATCCTAAAACAATATTACGCTATATTAAATTGACACTGGTTGAGCTCTAGGACCAAGCAGAAAACAACCGTTTGTGCTGAAGCCGGTTTCCCATTAGAGCATACTGTAAAGATCCCCCCAACAGCCCACCCCCCACCCCCACCCCCGTGTCCCCCTCACTTCTAAAGTGAAAATTACGTCCATGGTTCTTCCTTACATCTCTCACCAAGGCTCTTCTCCCCGAGTAGCTCAGTTTGGCCGGACGGCCTGCTCTAGGGTTCTGGTCATCCCAAACGTCTTCCATTTAACAATTACGAAGGCTGCTGTACTCTTAGGAACGTTAAAGGGACTTTAAGGAGTTTTGAATTTTTATGCTCGCGATTGCCCCCTCAGGCCAAAAGCGTAACGGCAGCTTCAATAGTAGGCTCGTGCACAAGGCGCGCATGCTGTACGTGCACACTCCTTAACGAAAATAACAGCTGAGACAGTCCCGTATGTGTGTGTGTGTGTGTGTGTGTGTGTGTGTGTGTGTGTGTGTGTGTGTGTGTGTGTGTGTGTGTGTGTGTGTGTGTGTGTGTGGCCCGGAGGACAGAGGACAGGAGAACGTGCAGCTAATTAATTAAATAATTTGGTCCTGTACCTTTCTCTTCAGCACAGCCGACAAAGGTTTATGATGGGTCAGTCCTCCTGCATGCTCAGATCATTCCCTTCCCTTGCTTGAAAAATTGTTCCAAAATGAAAGTTGAGCCCACATCTTTTTTATCTGTGAATTCAATGCCGTTTGGCGAGTCTCAAATAAAAATTTGGGCATCTTACTGTAAAATAAATATGCCATTAATGTAAAAAAGAAACTCTAAATAAACTATGTTCACATCCAGAATCGAACCCGAGTTTTCTGCACAAGAGTCCGACGTCTTAGCTATAGCACCAGTGACATCTTTTGTATCTGTAACATTTATATCCTTGATTACAGCTGAAACAATGTTAAAGGAGACATAACATGCTTTTAAGTTATTCCTTTTTACATCTAAATCCTTCAGTTGGGGTCTAAATACAGTGGAACTGCAGTTCTTTGGTCTGATTTCCTCATTATTGTTGCTCTACAGACCCTCATCTACCCCTGTTCTGAGGAGAGTCTTGAGAACGAGCCGTTTTTGGGTACTGTCTCTTTAAACTGGAGGAGGAGCTGTAAACTCCGCCCCCCCCTCCATAGTGCAGACCTGTACTCTCCTCCCCCAGTCGGACTTTGTAGTTCTATAGAGAAATCATTATTTAGCATAGCAGATTTAGCATAGCATATTAGCATTTTTAAAACATGTGGGGAGGGTAGTTCATCAAGCTGTTTCAAGGCTGCTAACTCTCTCATGCATTTGTCTGTAGTCACTCACTCACACCCGTCACTGCTGACGGAGGGACAAGCTAGCAGACACATGCGCGCGCGCGCGCACACACACACACACACACACAAGGAATGCTGCTTGCTAATTTATTTCTATAAAAAATGTTTTAAAAAATGATACAGCTCATTAAAACACCATTAAAAGAATACATTTTATTAAGATCTCTATCTATATATATACATACATATAATTATAAAAAATTTTATAAGTAGTCTTATTTTATATTGGGTGTCTTAATGGCTGAAAATGGATAAAAAGCAGTTACATTTTAATTTAAAGATTTGAGATTCGAGTAAAAAATAAAGAACATTCCTCCAAATGTTCTTTAATGTGATCATTATAATTCTAATGCTTACAACTTTGTTTTTATTGTCTGCAATGCGTAGCCTATATCTTTATTAAATGTGTTTAGCTGTAAAGTGGTAATTCTCTCTAATGTGTACAGAGAGGTGGACATCAGTGCTGCAGTGAAATTCCCAAGATCAGTCTGCTTTGCTAACAAATATAGTTAAATCTTACCTGCATTCTAAATAAATACCGTTAGGTGAAAACATCAGTAGGCAATGAGTTATTGATAAAATCCCTAACAGCCAGAATGGAAGAAGAGCATGCTGGGTCATCCTGGACCTGAGCCTGTTCTGTGTATTTACCTACAGGATGCAATAAATGTCTACAAGGCTGAGTTTGGACCATTACATCTAAAAGAAAACATACAATCAGTGATTTTTTTTAATTGTTTACATTAATATACAAATTTTCTAAGTATTAACCTCACAGCAAATAAGTAGAACAATATAATAAACAGGCTTTAGTAGTTAAACAGGCGTTGTGCACACAGGTGCTTTGTGTCTCGGTGCTGGTGGTGTCTAGGTCTCAGAGTTCCTGTCCTCCTGCCGTCTTCTGTTGTCCTCAGGATACGGATTGATGTTTCCTGATGATGAGGGAGGGGAAGTATGTGGGCTTCAAACTGGTCCTGGATAACAGTGGGAGACCTCCATTGTCTGAATACTGAGACCAGAGAGTTGGTGAGATGCAGATCTTCTCTACCTCATCTAGAAACGGAGTTGGTTCAGGGAAAACTTTTCCAAAGACCAGTTCCATGATGTCATCGTCATATTCTGCAATGATAGACAATAACTTTTGACATATTTTGTTTACAAGCAGCTTTAGGAAAGTTGTTTCTTTAGCTTTCATGTTTATAGTCACGTTTGTGTTTGTTCACAAGTTCACTTTGCTGCAGTGGCTTCATATTCTTACAAATGTAATAAAATAGTGACACTAAAATTATACAAATGATTCCTTATGAAAGGAAGCTCATTAGAGAGCAGTGCAGACAGACTTACTACATGCAGCTGTTTTTGTAGGCCAGCTGCTGCTGAATTTGGGGAAAGTTATTCTGCACACATCCAGATCAGATGGTCGATTACAGAAAATAATGTAATTCAATAATTTCTAAACAGACTAAACAAGTAAAACATCAAATAAATCACTCTGCTGTCATCAGACGGAGTGATTCAGGGGGTGAGGTGTTCTTAATGATGAGGGTGGCTGAGGTGTGTCATCACTCACTTTGGTCTGGTCCAGCTACCGTCTCTTTACTGGTGGGTCTCCTTCCTCAGTAGGTGACGTGAGCTCCAACATCTGAACGTTCTGTGTTCCTTAGAGGAGAAGAAAAGTAACATTAGCAAGCTGGCTAAATAATTTTTTACTAGCATCTCAAGGACTTGGAGAAGCAGATCTTCACTTACCTAAACATCAGACCAGTTTGTCCCAGCTGAGCTCATCAGGGCGTTAGTCTGACAGCCTGTCAGTGAAACACGGCTCCAGTCTTCTGGATGTTGACTCTAAAAAGCAAAGGAGCATTTTTACTTTTGTTTTAATTATTGTACAGCCGATTTTATCAGCTTTCCGATGCTCACGCTCATACAGACGGTGAGCTTTGCTGCGTCTGACTGATAAAGTTAGTTTTTATATCTGCAGTGAGACAAAAAACTAACCTCACTCCACTCAGAGATTGTTCTTTAAAACTCTATTAAATCCACTGTGTTGACGCACTTTAATGACTTTGTCACGCTGCATTTGAGCTGATATGGGACTTTATTTACTGGATGCTAAGATTACATCACACTCAAGTAGAATAACACACAGGCTCTCTGCTGTTACAATCAGTGGGAGGTTATCATCTGGTGTAAAAGAAGGCGTTGATCAGAAATCACGTTTTATTCCACGAAAATCAGCCAAATCCACATTAATCTGGGTGCTAACTTTACTAGCATACTGTGCTAGCGATAGCAAGCCGGATGCTAACGCTTTAGTGCTGCTAATGCCCGTAAATCTAAAGTAAAGTTTGTCGACATTTTAGAGTGATATGAAGCTTACCGCTCTGCTGCTGTGTCCCGGTGCTGCCACATTCAGATGGAAATGACTCCTTTTAGATAGATGAAGCCCTCAGTACTTACTAGCCTGGAGACACGAACGAACGAACCACGCGCACGTGCGCGCACGCACACACACACACACACACACACACACACACACACACACAAACAGAAACACACTACTTTTTCTTCTGTGTTTTTTTAGCAGTAGTGTCATCAGCTCCTGGGTTTAAATACTGCCACACCACCCTTCCTTAAAACGAGGAACAGTTTTGAGCTGTGTGTGGCTAAAATAACCAGACATTCTGCATTTTTCCAATAGGACTACAAAAAATCTTAGCGAGAAGAAAAAATGGCGGATTGGCTCTGTGTTTAGCCGAGGGCCATTACCATATATGGTAGTTATCCTGACTAAATTAATTACTGATGTAATAGATAATGTAAAAACTGAACGGGTGGACAAATATGCCCAAAACTTAATCTAAATAGCAACTCCAGTGAATAATATAAGCCTTTTTGCTCACTTAGACACTTAAAATGTGAAACACACCGTGTTAATGGATAAAAAAGTGGGTTTTTCATGTTATGTCTCCTTTAAAAGAACGGTTTGGAGCGAAAATGGCTATTTTGTTGCTAATTTGCAGGAAATATCTAGAAGAAAGTAGCTAAGGTTCCTCAGAAATGTAACTAGGTTCATCACTAGGCGTTAGGAACGGCGACAAAGTCGCTGAGTTGGTACTACCTCACTCTCTGCTGTTAAATCTACTGATAGCAAATGCTACGGGCTATACCTGAGCGTGAACGCGCATGAAGCAGCCTGCTCGACCCGAGCAGCTCTCTTTTTCTGTGATTTTACAGAAAAACAGGCAATCACAGTAAAAATGCCAGGGCTCATTCTACAGAACCAGGGCATTGCAGGAGAATGTATGAAGAAGAAATGTATTATTTCTATCCATGTTTTGGCTGTCAAACTTCCATAATGCCCCTTTAAGTGCAGCAGAGATTTTTTGTGACCTTGGCCAGATCTGTGCCTCGCCACAATTCTGTCTCTGAGCTCTTGTAACATTTCAGCTTGTCTTTTTTAATAACTGTGCAGAAATTTCTAAAATTCTGTTTTTTTCTGTCAATATAGAGTCATGCCTGTACATTAATGAGAAAAAAACAAATTTAATTGATTTTATAATATAAAATAGTATAATATTGATCTCAATATAACCATAGAAACATTACATGTTGGTGTGTGTGTGTGTGTGTGTGTGTGTGTGTGTGTGTGTGTGTGTGTGTGTGTGTGTGTGTGTGTGTGTGTGTGTGTGTGTGTGTGTGTGTGTGTGTGTGTGTGTGTGTGTGTGTGTGTGTGTGTGTGTGTGTGTGTGTGTGTCTGCTCTGTCTTCTCGATCCCCAGTGAGTCATGGTGGATGGCTGCTTACATTGAGCCAGGATCCTCTGGAGGTTTCTTCCTGTTAAAAGAGAGTTTTCCTCTCCACTGTCGCTACATGCTTGCTTAGTATGAGGATTGCTGTAAAGACTCTGACACCAGTCAGTGACTTGATGCAACCTGCTGGGTTCCTTATGTAGGGAACTTTTTTCTGATTGGCTTAATGAACTGACCTGGAGTGGAATGTTTAACGTGTGAAGTGCCGTGAGACGACTCTTGTTATGGTTTGGCGCTATATAAATAAACTTTAATTGAATAAACTTGAATTGAATATAACAAAGATGAAAAAATTGATGAGAGCCTGAATTCTTTCTGTACCCACTGTAAGGCAGAAACTAATTTATCCATTTTCTTCTGTGCATGTGCATCATTACAGCTGTAAGAGGAGGCAGGAGATCACTCAAACCAATACACACTCAGTACTTTGGATGGGATAACCAGAGGGATGCATTACTTTACACCTCTGAGCCTTTAAATGTTGTAGATCTTATGTGAAACTTCACCTTGGTGCCGGAATCGGGTCATTAAGGCTGCACAGAGGAAGATATAGGGAGGCAAATGTACAAAACTAATAACAAACATCCCCTTGAATATGTAAATTTGGCCCCCGGTGTCACATTAGGTGTGAGCACAACACAAGAACAAGATGTGAGCAAAAATACAGATGTTTTATTCATACTTTTAAAGATTTAAAGCAGATGTGTGGAAAATCTTTTGCATGTTATTCTGTTTCCTGACAGAGTTCACATATGGATTCACAAGCTCTGAAATATGTGTGCAATGTGAGTTCATCACCTTGTGAAACAGGGGTGTTCAATTCCGGTCATCGAGGTCCAGTATCCAGCACGTTTTAGAGGTTTCTCTGATTCAACACACTTGATTTGCCTGTGCAGCAGCTCATCAGGCTCTGCAGAAGCCTGTTAATCACCTGCTGACTGAAATCAGGTGTGTTGAAACAGAGTTAAAACTAAAACATGCTGGACACCAGACCTCCAGGCCCGGAATTGAATACGCCTGTAAAACGAACACTTCGGTTTCCCTCTCTGCAACTGGCCTCCTGAGTGTTTTAGATTGTCTCCTCTGGATGCCTGATGGGCGGTCACAGGCTTGTTTGCCACTTAGCTTTTCCTCCTAAAGTGCAACTGCCCATTGTTACAAACACAACAGCACGCGCTGTTATTTCCTGTCTCTTAAAAAGGACCTTGCATGGTTTTCCCATCTTCTCCACAGAAAGAGCCATGACCTCAGCACTTCTCTTGTAGGAGAAACAGTAAACACCTCATGGATTCTGAAGTGGGAAATAAAACCTGTTTGACCCCAAAAAGTCTAATAAGCTCTATTTTAGCTGCTTAACCCTTTTAATGCTGATGTGGATGAACTAAAAACATCAGCAAATTGTCTGAGCAAGCTTTAAAAAAAGACACTTTAGCAATAATGTTGCATTAGAAAGTATTATCAAAATGAAAAGCTAAAGAACATTTATTTCATATATATAATTTGAACTTACATAATTTAAATAATGGAACTTTCAGTTTAGTTCACATTATTTTCAAATATTTAAAGTTGCTATAATATTTTTAAAATTGGAAACTGTTCTTTGAGCCTTATGAAATTTTGTTGGGGCTCAAAATGGACCAGGAATCCAGCTAAATAGCCAATGAAAGGACAGGTTTGCCCTGCCCTCTTGGCCAGGACATGAATATTAAATGAGCTATGTGGTGATTGGCCGGTTCACCTCACTGATTCTCTGATGCTACTTGAAGCTAGAAATGGTAAAAGGCCTGTATTTATTATAGCACATTCCAGAGTCCTAGAACCCCCCAAAGCGCTTTACAACACAATTAGTCATTCATCCATGCATACACACATTCACACACTGATGGTGATCAGCTACACTGTCGCCACAGCTGCCTTGGCGTGCACTATCAAAGGCGAGGCAGCCGAGCACTGGTGCAACTATTGCCCACGGACCCAACAGCAGCATTCCCTGCTAGGAGCCGGGATCTATCCTACAATCCTCCCATTACTGGACAACCCGCTCTACCTCCTGAGCTCCTGCTGCCCTAACTCTGAAACTGTATAAGGCAGATCTCTGGGATTGGGATCCTGTGGAACCCAACACAAAAGTTGCAGGAGCGGGTGATATTGAGGTTGTAGTGGGCGAGAGCTAGCCTAGAAATATAGACAGACTGTAGCAGTAGCAGGTCAGTCCAGCCATGCTCTATCGTGGCCTCAGAAGGTCTGCCATTGGCTCTGGCAGTTTTGTGTCCTGCCAATCATATTGCTCTATGTCTGTTAGGTGTACTTAGCCCCAAACAGCGATGGACCGCGTCTGTCGAACAGATGCCTCTGTCAGTGCGCCCCAGTGCAGCTGTGGCTACATCAGGGGTGTCAAATATGCGGCCCGGGGGGCCGGATCCGGCCCGCAAGCGGGTTGAATCCAGCCCGCGAGATGGTTGTGTAAACTTTATTTTCATACTTTACAATGTAGAGTGAAAATAAACTTATCTTTGTGAGCAAGTTTTCTCTGTAATGAGTATAAATAAAACAAAGCTGCGCTCAAGGCCCACACAAGAACTTGAATCACATCCTGAAGTTGGCCGCCACTCAGGATGTGACTTCTGATGTTGATGTGCTGGTGAAAGCTAAAAGATGTAAAGTAAAATGAGTCAAATATACTTTAAGTGCTGCATGAAACTGATCTAGCCATGTGATCTGTAAGCTCTTTGAATCACTAAGGAATGTTTTTTTATTTATTGATTTTTAATGTTTTTCAAATTTTCAAGTACACTTCAGGTGTTGTACTTGTACTATTTTGGATACACTGTCCTCAGGCTCCAGCCTTGTTTTATATTGATTGTATTAAAACAAAGAAAACAATCTGAAGTTGTTTTTAATTTACCGGTCCGGCCCACTTGGGACTAGATTTCCCTCAATGTGGCCCCTGAGCTAAAATGAGTTTGACACCCCTGGGCTGCATCGTAGCTCATCACCATCAGTGTGTGAATGTGTGTGTGAATGGATGAATGATACACTGTAGTGTAAAGCGCTTTGGAGTCCTTACTCTGAGAGGCGCTATACAAGTGCGGGTCATGCTAAAGAGCCAACCTGTTGGACAATGATTGGACATTGCAGAATCCACAGGCCTGTGATGTAGAGTTTGACTCCGAATCATTTGCCTGACACTCATCCGCTTGGTGAATAAATGAACCACTGTTCCCTGACGATCTAAAACTTCATGGTTCCACAAGCTTCCTACAAAACAAACAAATAAGTAAATACAGTTTAAAAAAATATTTCTTCACTAATCAGCTCTGCACAGCTACTGATGTTACAATAGATCTAAAATAATTAGTGACTTAACAGATAAGGCACATCTCATGCTGATTACAAGCAGCTGCTACCAGCCTTTCAGCTGCGGAAACCCCCTCCTGTGTCTTTCAGATGATGCTGACTTATCACTTTTTACATTCTCACCCCTGTTATTTGCTCCAGGACATGCAGCTGAAGCATCCTGGAACATAAAGATGGAGAGGGGTAAGAAGGATCTGGGAGGGAGTGAAATGTAAAGACACTGAGAGACCAGGAAGTGACCCCATTGTTTTCAGGGTCACCTGGCTTTTCCTTTCAGAGCCTCAGAGGTTTATTGGATCTCACATAAACAAATCTGCCCGTCACCAACCACTGTGTCTTG